CAACGTTCATACACCTGCGACGCCTAAACATAAGGCAAGCGCGTAAATCTTCTACTTAATAAGAGGACGCGCGACGCATTTTGGAACAGTTGCCAGGAGATCGGGAAGCGGAAGAAGTTATCGCCAGGAGAGTCGACGGCTCTGCAGTGCGTAGCTTTGAGAAGATTCAGCAAATTAGAGTGAGACCGGATGTCAGAATTTGCGAAATTGGAAAGGCAAAAAAAAGGACGAAAGAATTTCGAAGAATTTCAGCCAACGGCGAACGCGGTGGCTGATGCGTTGGCAGAGCTAAACAGGAGCAGAGGAATTTTTTCAGCCAACCAGCCAAGCTAATCAAATAAAGTTCATATATATTAAATATATTATAATCGCCTGGTTGGCTGGTTGGCTGATAAAATTCCTCTGCTCCTGTTTAGCTCTGCCAACGCATCAGCCACCGCGTTCGGCGTTGGCTGAAAATTTTGAATATTTTAATTTCATAAATTTAAGAAGAAATCAAGAAAAAACGCGCAAAATTCTAAAGGAGGCAGAAGCACAGAAAACAACGCCAAAAACTTCGACTACGGCTTAAAGAGTCGACAAAAATAAGAATCAACGATCTAAAATCTGTAGTCTCGTGCTGTTCTAATTTTATTGGGTCGATATGGGTGGGTGCAAATGGTAGCTAAAGAATGATAATTAATCGCCTCCAAATGGAAGCGCATGAATTTCAAAGCAAATGGCGTGCACACTGAGAAGCCATTTGGTGACGGGGTCGCTTCTCAAGTGGGCGAACACCTACAAAGCTTGCAGCTTCTTGCGGTCAGAAGGCCCAAGCTGTAGAGTCTTAGCAATGGCACAGAAGTCGGTGTGTACTTTATCAGCTTCTGCAGTAAAGATGGGCGGCGTTTCAATCTGTGCACCTCCATAGGAGATCCTTTTGGGCATGCACAGACCCCCCTCCCCTGAATTTCGTCAGCCGCCCTCTTGTCCCCCTCCCTCCAATTTCCATCGCCACTAGCCTGACACCAATCCAACGACTGGCCCTGTACGTTCCCAACGACTAGTCCCGCACCGACCCAACCACTAGCCCCGCGCGTACCTAGCCGCTAGCCCGGTACTTGCCCCCCCCCCCCTCCACTTTCCCTCTTTGTTTTTCACCAAACCCCCCCCTTAAGCTCGAGAATGGGACCGCCTGGGCTTTACGGGATTTCTAGTGCGGATATGATCTGGGGCCAAGCGATCGCCAGGCGGGTCCTGCTCCTGCTGGGGCCTCCTGTGGTTCCTGTGGTTCCTGTGGCTCCTGTGGCTCCTGTCGCTCCTGTGGCTCCTGTGGTTCCTGTGGTTCCTGTGGTTCCTGTGGTTCTTGTGGTTCTTGTGGTTCCTGTGGCTCCTGTGGCTCCTGTGGCTCCTGTGGTTCTTGTGGTTCCTGTGGTCCCTGTGGTCCCTGTGGTTCCTGTGGTTCCTGTGGTTCCACCCCCTTGGCCGACTTTCTTTCAGGTTTGCCGCCTGGGGAACATTTTCCACCCCCTTGGTTGACTTTCTGCCAGGTTTGCTGCCTCGGGAACACTCTCTACCCCCCTGAGTGATTTTCTGCCAGGTTTGCCGCCTCGGGAACATTTTGCCGCCCCCCTTTGTTGATTTTCTGCCAGCCAGGTTTGCTGCCTGGGGAACATTTTCCGCCCCCCGGGTTGATTTTCTGCCAGGTTTGCCACCTCCTCGGGAACATTTTCCGCGCCCCTTTGTTGAATTTCTGCCAGGTTTTGCCGCCTGGGGAACACTTTCCGCCCCCTTTGTTTTGTTTTTGCCAGGTTTGCGCCCTCCGTTGATGTTCTGCCAGGTTTGCTGCCTGGGGAACATTTTCCGCCCCCCTGGTTGACTTTCTGCCGCATTTTCTGTCACACGGGAACACATTCCGCCCCCCTCTGTGACTTTCTGCCGCATTTTCTGCCTACCTGGGAACGCTTCCCACTCCCCTGGTAGAGTTTCTGCCACCCGGGAACACTTTCCGCCCCCGTCTGTGACTTTCTGCCACCCGGGAACACTTTCCGCCCCCCTCTGTGAATTTCTGCCGCGTTTTCTGCCTACCCGGGGAGGAACATTTTCCACCCCCCTCCGTGACTTTCTGCCACCCAGGAACACTCTCCACCCCCCTCTTGGACTTTCTGCCGCATTTTCTGACAATCGGGAACATTTTCTGCCCCCCTCTTGGACTTTCTGCCGCATTTTCTGCCACCAAGAACACTTTTGCCACCCCTTCCTCTTGGACTTTCTGGCGCATTTTTTGCCAAGCTCTGTGAACTTCTGCCGAAGGAACTTTTCCCCCTCGCCGTCTTGTGGACATTTTCCGCGTCCCTCTGCTCTTGAGGTTAAGACTGAGACTGAGACTCACAACCAGGGGAACGCTGCTGCCCCTCGTCCGCCACATCAAAGCTCCCAACAAAGTGAACAGGGGAGAAGAAACTTATAACCAAGCTAATGCGCGAGGCCGTTGCCCTTTGTTGTTGCGATCTCAGTCAGCTGAATCCTAAAAAAGTTGCTGACAGTCTGTCAAGCCATTGCCACGCTGCTGGTGCTAGCGCTATCGCGTGCTTCTCAAGTTCCTCCGACAGGCTCCTCCGATTTATTTTGGGTAGGTGAATGTGCTCACTGCGGTCACAGTTGTGCTGTCGTGCTAAATTAGGCGAAGTTAATACAGGCTGGCGCCTCCTCTGTTTACATTTTCAAAATGGTAAAGAAGCGAAACAAAATTGCCTACACGACTAGAAATCCCGTAAAGCCCCGGGGGTCCCTTTCTCGACCCTACCCCCCCCCCCCCCGATTGCGGCCACACCCGTCCCGAACACCGCCCCGCGGGAACCTCATGCGGAGAAAACGCCGCCCCGTTGGATCTCGCTCGCGATTCGCGTGGAATCTCCATCGGGTTCCGCCGGTTCCCCTTCCTATTGAGAACCCAGGCGAGGCCGGCGCGGGTCAAGCACTAGACTTCGGGGCGCGTTCTTCTTGCGTTCGAAACTGGCGCGAAAGACCCCGCCTCCGCCATAAGCTGGCGCGCAGTCTCCGCAACTACCTGAAGGGTGCGACTCTCTTCGAGTTGGGAGGCGATCCCCTTCGGCCGAGCGGCTGTCTGTTTGCGGGTCGCGCAAACTGATGCGCAAGACCCCGCGTCCGCCATTAGGTGGCGCGATGTCCTCGCAATTCCCTACACAGCGCGACTGCCTTCAAGTTAGGAAGGCGACCCCCTGCAGTAGCCGCCTCTTTTCGAAGCCTTGACTGCCCGCGATCGTGCGCTCGTTTGTTTGCGGGTCGCGACGCTGATGCCGAGGGCCTTGCCTCTGCCATTAGATGGCGCGACGTCCTCGCAATTCCCTAAAAAGTGCGACTTTCGTCGAGCTGGGAAGGCGATCCACTTCAGAAGCCGCCTCTTTTCGGCGCCTTGACCTCCCGCGGCGAGTCGAGTACAGACGCGCATCGCAGAGCTACCTGGCAGCCGGTCCGCGATAAGTCGATAAGCCGATGACAGACGGGGGGCGCAAAGTTGCCTGGCAGCCTGTCCGCGATAAGTTGATAAGAGACGCGCCGCGCAAAGTTTCCTCGCAGCCGGTCCGCGATATGTCGATAACAGACCGGGAGCGCAAAGCCGCCTAGCAGCCTGTCCGCGATGAGTCGATAACCCGATAGCAGGCGGGCAGCGCTGCGCTTCCTCGCCGCCTGTCCCCGATAAGTTGAGAACTCACTTGTGGAAGACGCTGGCCCTTAGTAAGTCTGAAGCTCTCGGGGTTTGAGAAAGCTATGGACTTTCAAACCCTACAAGTTCCAGACTCGTGAGAAGGCCCGCCACCTGTGGGGCCATCCGTCCCCTTTCTCTCCTGTAAGTCTGACGCGATCGGCCACCGACTGCTTTCAAAGTCCCGGCCTTCTCACTACAAGGGCCGGATAGAAGCGAGAAAGGCGGGACTCTAGGGGCGACCGAAACCAAACCCCCCTAAACAAAATGATAGAAGCGCAACACTCCCCCCTTTTGGTCGAGATCGCCCTCTACAGAGGCGCACAGGAAAACCAATAGGCGCGGCGTTGCTTCTCGGAAATCACATCGCGATGGGAGGCGAACGCCGATCAAATTCCGCGGCTTCTTGTCTCCTCGAATGCCCTCCGCGGGTTGCTGAATGGCTGAAAGGCCCGGCCCCCGATGGTCTCCCTGCAAAGGCAACCGCAAAGCCCCTGGCCCCAGGGAGACCATAGGGGATCCCACGAGAGGCCCATGAGATACCGCGGCCCCCTTTGCAAGGGCGGAAGGGTCGGGAATCTCGTAGGGGTTGAGTAAAACCCTCATAGGCTTTCCCGTGGGGCGCTATAGAGGGAAAAATCGCCCCACTCCCCCTCTTCCGGCGCGTTGCCCCGTGCCCGGGCCCGCCGCCGTTTTCTCTTCCTGGGCAGCCCGCCCCGCCTCAGGCGGGGACCTTCTCTTGCCTACTCCCGGACACTCCTCCCGGACTAGCCGCCCGCACGCTTTCCCGCCAGTCAGGCCCCCCAGACGCTTTTTCGGACGCCGGTTCCCGCCCCCGGGTGCCTGCATACCAACGGGCCCGGCTGCCGGCAGCCCCTGCCTGGCACCCTCTCCACCACGTGCCTGACCCTTTCCGCGCCGGGTCCGCTCGCCCCCAGACTGAGTCCCCTCCTGCTCCCCGCGCGCTTCCCTGGTTCTGCGCGCCCCGGGCCGCTCGGTTTTGCCTCCTCAATGAGGGAAAGGCGGGGCACCGCGGTCCCCCTGAGTGCCGGCGAGGTTTTTGAGCGGGCTGCACAGGGGCCGGGAAAAGCCGCTCCTTTTCAGCGGGCTGCCTGGAGGGCAACCGCCCCGCGGGCCCTTTTTGCTGGATCCCGGTCGGGTTTTTTTGCCACAAGGAGCCGCCCACTTGCGCGACCTCGAACAGGAGTGGCGTGTAGGGATTTGGGCCGCTGCTGGCAGCTCCCGGCTGCGGCCATCCCTGCGGACGCCACACGGCGCCGTCGCAGTGATGACAGCCTACCGGTGCCTCTGATATGCATTTCAAAACGGTATGGTATCCAGCTTCATTCTATTGCAATGCTGACTGATTTTCAATGCCCCTCCATTTCGGGCCGCTCCGCTTTTTTTTCATACGAGAAGAGATTTTTTCAAGCTCTCTGGATACATTAGTTCTGTCCGCTGGCGTGGAAGTCACCCTTGGCGACCAATGCAGAGCAAAAGTGCGATCAATTTCTGAAAATTCGAAAGAAGTGCAAGCAGATTGACGATCTCGTCAACCTGCAATTCTACCTTCGTAAAGAACAAAGTACTACAGAAATACTACACAAGTATAAATTAAAGAGATGCTGCTCAAGAAATACTAGGCACCACGAAGGTGCCCGTCTTACTCCTTCCACTCCCTCCGACTGAATGCATGTGCAGAGAATGAAAACCCGTGTCAACGACAAACTTGCTTGCTGGCGAAAGAAGTGTTCAGTTCTTCTTTTATCTCACCATCTATGTGAGAACCATCGGCTTTCATCTCTGCAGCGTAACTCATATAAGAAAAAACTAGATTCGTCCTCCCAAAAATGTCGCCTTTTTGGGAGGGTGTAGGCCCCGCGACACTCAAAGCACACAAAGTAAATTAGCCGGCTAGTTTCTCTCGATAGTTCGGGGGTCGTTCGTAACCCTATTCGCAATATAAGAAAAAACTAAGATGATCTAGATCACTGGTCACATGAATGCGATTTTCATCGAATCTTAGAGAAGCCGCGCCGACACTCGTAGTAGCATCTTGTCTTCACCACCGCCATGACACAAAAAAACAAGACAAGCACACTCACTATACTTATTTTTTTTATCACGAAGAAGATCAGAAAACAATTATTACAGGAACCATTCATCAAAGGCTTTTGTTCATCTTCACAAGCATCTGAAAATTATAACTATAAACGCATAATCATCTTCAGAAACCAAGAAAAGTAGAACACTTTATGAGATGTGATGAAGCCTCCTGCAAAAGTTAGATTCTTGTGGTCACTAGCGGGGGGGGGGTTGTGAGAACACTACTGAGAGCAGAACACTGCTTAGAGTCTGCTGCGGCGGTCTCTTTCGGTGGTGGTACGTCGCTTTCACCGGTGAAAATATGCCATATCATGAAGACGAACATCGGCCGATTGAGGTAGACGAACCACAACAGCAGGCCTCTTTAGCGGCCCCGACCGAAGACGAAAGGGTCATTGACTTTGACAGGAGAGCATGCACTTTAAAACGATGGACTGTTCTAATAGTTTTCTCGGGTGCTACGCTCCTAGTAGGGCACAACAATACAAAGCTTTTCGTTCCGCAATTGGGAAAGTGGTGGTAGACGTTTCTGCTTTCTGAACAAGAGTACAAGGCCGAACAAAGAGTAAAAAGGTAAAAAAGTGCCGCAGGTGAACAAGAGTACAAGGGCCTAACGGGCGAAGCTGTGATTGAAGGAGAGGCTGAAGGTGCAGCTGGAGCCAAGCTGAAGTGCAAAGGAGGAGACCCCGCGAGGATGACACACACAGGGCACAGCAAAGTACCGAAAGAGAAGAAGGACGATGTTGAACTGAAAGAGAAGAAGGAAGATGAACTGGAAAAGAAGAAGAACGATTTTGAACTGACATAGGAGACTTCCTTCTGCGGAGTGGGCAAGCTGGCTGCAAGTTCTTCTCCAGACCAAGCATGCCCTGTTTGTCTCAGTCCAGAAGTGAAGAAAACCGAGCTTTTCCCCTGCAGCCACAAGGTGTGTCTGAATTGTATTGCAGCATACGCCAGAATGCTCCAGAAAACGGGGAGCATCACTTGCCCTCTATGCCGGACCGAGTGCTTTCCGATTTTATCACCGAAGGAACAGATAGCTGCACTGGACAAACACTTGGAAATTTCTGGACGAAAGCAATCCTCTTTGCCTCGTTTTCTGCGTGGAACGAATCGAGAGGAATTGATTTCACGAGGCATAAAAGAAGGAGGGATGGCGGCGGCGATGCTTAATCAGTTCACCGATCTGCTGTGCCACGCCATTCAAGGCCGCCTACCGATGACGGAAGCAGACACGAAATGGCTTGCGTTAAGGCCACTGTAAAGTCCTATTAGAGCAGTAGAGTGCTCGAATACAGAGTTTTACATCAACACAGAATATATTAAATGATTTTAAGGACGATACGACGTTTTCAAGAATAACAATGGTACTTATCACTATCACAGCAATGGTGCTCTGCCACGACAAATGCTGCTACATCAGAGATCGATGCGCACGTGACCTCGTACTATCTCCAGTAGTAGATTTTGAGCTCCTAGATGTTGAGCTCGTATTTGATACTTTTGATGCTATTCTAATCCAAGACCGAGTACGATTATTCGCTGATTCTGCTGGAGCTGCTGGGGAAAAGGAGAAGAATTTTCAAGAGTGGTTTGCTATGCTGATCAAGGAGAGGTTTGCCCCTTGGATGAAAAAGGAGTTTTTGAACATCCTTACAGGGGACAAAGAAGTTTGGCAGGGCCGTGTAGATGCAGTAGCAGCCTGTACATACAGGACAGTTACATTAAGGCTCACTATAATCCATCTTCTTCTTCTTGACAGAGTATTCTCAGCTTAAACCAGCTGTAGTTTTCCAAAAGTTGACTTTTACTGTCTTTTGAGTTCTGTGTCGCTTATAAAGACAAAGCAGCCGGCTAGTTTTTCCATCATAGCCTAGGTCTCTATCCCAGCAAGCAACAGAGTACTCTTTGTCTCAGTGTGTTGCTGTTCCTTGTTGGTTTCTCATCCGAGAAAAATATGCTAGTAGCAGAGGAGCCATCGGCGCGAGCTCTAATTTGAGCTGAACTTTACGAGAAGTATTTGGTACAAAATGGCCTTGCTAAAGGAGATGAGGGACAAAAGCTGCGCAATCTGATACTCGACTGGTACTGCGATGATCTTGAGGTTGAAGAGGAAGAAGATCAGGTTGGAGAAGAAGAACAGGTTTTTAGTCGTGGCCGCCCTTTGTTGAAAGGCGCGAAGAAAATGGCGACGCTTATGGCTAAGACAGTGCTTGATGTTTCTCCACTTCTCTTTCGCTTCGTTGCGCTTTTGCCGGTCTTTGTGGTGCACTATCAAATGACAACGCCGGATCCCGATACTGGAGTCTCTTTGACACGTGCAACCTTTGAGCAGTGTTCGAGGTGCATTCTTAGCCGCGACACTGCACTGACGCTGCCTTCTTGGTTGGGCCCCGAGTATATTGTGACCATGGCCAGTATCATCTTTTGCCTCTGGAGCACCGAAGACCTCAGCTCAAAAGGCCCCAAGACCGTTGCAACCCGGTTCGGAGGGCGGGTGAGTTAAGGCTCCCCCCATCACCAGAAATCCAATTTTTGTTGTTTGCTGCTTTTCTACATTTTATACATCCTAGGTGGCCTACTTTTTCGTTTGGTTGTTCCTAGGTGAGCACCATGACATAAATTGCGCATTAGTTGTAGCACACCTCCTTCTCACTCTCTAACGAAAGGAGCTGATGTTTTCCCTCGTAGCCGGATGTCTCATTCCAGAATTTTTGGTTCTCTTGCATTTTTGTGCCCCTGAATGATGGTTTCGAGGCTTCTCCAGCGTCCACAGTGGCCATGAGAGAACAAATGTGCTAATCTCCAGCTGCGTCTTCTTTAGACCTGGTGCGCTTTACCTCTTCTGACGCAGCGGCGGCTTTGCTTATAAGGCTACTACCGGTCAAAGAATTTCCTTAACACCATGGTCCCTGCCTTCATCCTTGGATCTTCCTTTTCAGTAGTTATGAAAAAGAAAAAGAACCCAAGGATCCATGCTCTCAGTCACAGGGATCCGCGTAGAATTTGGTAGGCAAATTATCTAATTTGCTTTCCTCCCTTTCCAAATCGCAAGTGGACCTAGGGGAATTTTTCTACTTAGTGAGCACCGTCACTGGAACATCTCCATCACTTCGTCTTGGCGAACCTGGAGAAGAAGAGCAGTGTGTCCGGCTCGCGTGCGATCTGGACCGGCTAGGAGCCGAGACGCAGGCCGCGCTTTTAGTGCGGCCTTTCGTTCTACGTATAAGGCTCCTGCTGTCAACTCGTGACACAATAATTCGTCTCCAGATTGCTGAGCTTCCCCTAGCAGTAGAGGATGTACAGAATGAAGGACAAGTCGAAGTCTTCGTTTATGTACTTATATAAGCCTCATTATTAAAAAGATGAATTATTATTTCATGAGCCCCTGCATTGCTAATTTCTTGTCTTCTGGTGAGTTTTTTGCAGCTCTGGATTTTGGCTTTTCGTAACATGTTAATGCGCAAAGACTGGCTCTCGCGTACCGTTTCTTGCTTCCTTTCTCGCGTTACTTTAAGGGCTGGAGGCTGACCTCCCTATAAGCATATCTATGACCCTTTCAAGGAGGAAAGTCACAGATATGCGAGAAGCAGATTAGTCAAATTGCGACCCCTAATCACTTTAGAAGCCGACTTAGAAGAACGCATTGCAGGGATTACAAAACGAGTTGGACAAATTGGACTTGGCGAAGAGAATTGTACTTCTTCAGTTAAGTAGGGCACAATATGACTCCTGCGTCCGACAAATGTTGTCCTTTTTCTCTGTTTCCTTTTCAGGTTTTTCTGGGGAAACCGGAAAGCCAAAAAATGAAATATGTTGGGCTCCCTTCGTCTGAGTAAGTATTCAGAAGAAGGTAGCACTTCTAATTTGGCAAGTACTACTAGACCGTGGAGAGTGCAACCGCCTTCAGACACCTTCGGATACGCTTGATGCAACTGCGCGATCTCAGGATCGGTGAAGCTTTTTCCGATACCGGCACAGCACTTCTGACCAAGGAGGAGATCCAACCATTGGGGTCCAGCCACTACACGGATATTTACGGCTGACTTCTTGGTCGATTAGTTTCCTTCTTAGGATCATCGACACTGGTGTTGCAGTCACTTCTTGTCTCACTGTTTCTTTCCCTCTTGGGATCATGGGACATTGAGATAGTCCCATTCTACTTTCGATACAAGTGATAAGTGAACAGGCCAACGCCTAGGTCACCGCACCACCAGGAATAAGGCCGTTCTCGATTTGTTCGATATGATGAAAGAGGGAGCTTCTGTCTAGGATATCAACATGGAGTCCTTGTTTAAAGCAGCTCTTTCTTTTCACTTAAATCTCATCTAACATTTGGAGTCCTTGGACATGGCTTTCGGGTCTTTTGGAATCTGGGATCTTGAAAATAGTGACGAGTGGCCGGAAGCAAAGGCTACGATTGACAAAAAGATCCAGCACGCAAAAAAATTAAGGCTTGAGAAAGTCCCCATTTTGAGCCAGCATCTTGTCCCCATTTTGAAGGGAAATAGGGCACCAAGATGCTGGTCGCGATGGATTTATTACGCAAGGTCTAAAATAATCTGCGGGAGTCTTGGCTTTTCGAATGGCACTAGCCAAGATGCTGGAAAAAGGAGTCGTTGGCCAAGCCGGTGAGCAAAATACAGACCCGATGATTTCCATTGATCATGCGATTGCCATCGATCATACCATTAGCATTACATTAGCGAGTGCAGAAAACGTTGTAGCGGAAATATTTCCGAACGAATTTTTGGAACACTTGGAGCGGCTGGGTCTGGACCTTGGCTCTAAAGATGTGATGGAGCTCCTGAAAAAATTATGGCGAGTCGGAAGTAGAAAAACGTGCCGGGGAGGAGTAGTGAGTCACAGTTTGCTGGCGCAGCTGTGCTTAACAAATTATAAGTCAGAATCATCGATGCAGCTGTTTGTCAATGAAGAACGACTGTTCGAAAAATGTTGAGGGTCATTGAATCCATCATGAATGATTCTACGAAACATTCCGCACGACCACGAAGATATGGACCTCCTGCAAGAATTCGAATTAGAGAAAATCTTGAGAATTAAGAGACCACATTTTCTGGCCCTGCTTCGGCAGGTGGAAGAGGTGGAAGAGCGAAGAGTTTTAAGAGAGCGAAGAGTTTTAAGAGATCTCTACCTCTTCCTTCAACATCTCTACCTCTACGTCTTATATTAGCAGGTCTACTTCTTCGTAGTTCTTGTCCTCGCGCTCCTCGACCAGCGGCTCTATTAAATTGCTGGTGCCGCTCGTCTCCCCCTGGCGAAGACGGCCCAGGACTAGTCACCTCTTAAGAGACCACATTTTCTGGCCCTGCTTCGGCAGGTGGAAGTTTTTTCACTTGGGGTTGAGTAATCAACAAAATTGGGCAATCTTCAACAACTTCAAGAATCAAATTCGTGTAGGCTGAAATTTGAATTGAAACAAGATGTATTTTTAAACATATTTTGGGACAAGTCCTATGAGGACTATGTGACTTTTCTCTCATGTGCGATATATATGGTCAGAATCTGGCAGCGAGAGTTGTCACGTGATTCGCAAATGAATGAATGAATGAATGCATAATCTACTGCACAACAACTACCATATGAAAGATATAAGAACTTTTTTTCTCGTTTTTTTTTTGAAATAGAAAAATGTCGAGGTCTACTTTCCCACAGTTGTACTGCAGGACCACTTCGGTCTTGCTCCTGTGCAAGTACTTGAGCATCTGCTCGACGCTCGTTGCTTTGAAACCCGTCGCACCACCAGCAAGTTTCCATCTTCAAGACTGGCTTGGGCGTTTGAAAGTTAATGTGCCACCAGACGCTCAGATGATGGGTCTAGGAACTACTGCTCAAGGTGGTACGTGCGATAACTTTCGCGTTCCTTCTTTTAGTATTATTCCGAGTTATGACGCGAAAAATCGGACGTCGTATGGACTTGCGTTGGCAGTGTCTGGTGTGGAAGCCGGATGTCAGATACCTTTGAAGCGTGGTGGCGAGGGTGGTGCGAAGCTTTCGTCTTCTTTGTCTTCCGTGGAGGCCTTCACCATGCATCTCAGTGTCAAAAGTGGGAGAGTATCTCTGGATGTCCGTGTGGAAAACGCAGAGCCTTTTCCTGGTGCAGGAAAATTATTTCCGCATTCGGTGGCAGTGACGGCTTGCAATTTTGTGCCCAACATAGAAAAGCTGTGGTTTACTGGGGAGAATGCGACGTTGGTGGAGGAGTTGAACAAAGTGGAAGCCCCGATGCTATGATAAGCAAGTGTGAGTTCTGCTTTTGAATGTGAGGTCGGTGTTTGTTCAGCTTCACCTGAACAAAACGGAGAATTACAAGAAGCGGAACACTTCTCCTTCCTCTTCGTACTAGGTCTACATGATTCTGGAGATCGGGGTTAAATTTCTCAGCCTTCATGAAGCTACAAGATGCGGCTCAACATGATGCCGACGCCCATTCTATGTACACCGCTGCAAGACATGATGCCAAAGCTGAAGGAATTGCTGCAGACGAAGCTAGCCATGATTTTGTTCGGTTTCGCAGCGGATAGCACCGACCTGCTTCCACAATATGATGAGCAGACGGCTAGCTACCCAACCAAGGGTCGAGGGAAGGAAGCAGAGTTGGCAGCAAGCAGAGTTGGCAACAAAGACGATGTGGTAACTGAAGGTGGACAACAAGACGTAACTGAAGGTGGACAACAAGACGAACAGCTTCTTCTAGTGGTAACTGAAGGTGGACAACAAGACGTAACTGAAGGTGGACAACAAGACGTAACTGAAGGTGGACAACAAGACGTAACTGAAGGTGGACGACAAGACGAACAGCTTCTAGTAGGAGGCGGGAAAGAACGAGAAGTGTCCGTAGTACAGGAGATACGAGCGGCTTTGATTACTACAGCCTTGCACCAAGAACTTCTAAGAAGCGATCTCCAGGACTACAAATATGAGCCTCCTTTTGTCTATCAATGGGACGAGACGCCATTCATCAACTTGCTAATCCTTTGGCTAGAAGAATTTTTTCAGCATTCTGCTTCGGAAGCGACAGCGCAGATCCAACGCTTGTTACCTGATAATCGGACGGTAACGATTTTTCCACAAACGGAGTTTCGAGTATCGAGTATAGGTGGCGGTGCAGCTTCTGTGGCGGGTGAAGGTGAAGACGGTGCGGTTCGAGCTGCAGCTCTATCGTTTGGAGGTTCGTCTCCTTCTATCAAGGATCCTGAGACCAAGGCAACAGAAGAGACAACTAGTTCGACAGTCACTAGAGCTGAAGTACAAACGTCTTCTTTCTTCACTATTCCGACGGGCGGCGTGCAACTACGGATGCGACCAAAACGTGTTGACCTTGGCTTTGGGGACATCCTTTCTGCCAACAACGAGGTCCACAAGTACAGTCTAGGCGGATCTGTCGCAGTTAGTGACGTACAAGTCGCCGTTGCATTGGATGTCGATTTGGTTCCAATCGTGGAGAAGAACGAACTACCGCTTCTGGCTTTCCCACCATTGAATCTACGGGACATTGTGGTTAGTTTTGCGGCAAAAGACCTAGCTCTAGATGCGCTTGTTGCGTCGGGACTTTTTGGTCAAAAGTTCGCGTCTCTGGACATGCCTCAACGCCAAAGCGCAGCTTGTTTGGCTGCTGCACTAGTGGATCTCGCGGATCCTGTGAACGGAGAAGGCAAATGGAGCATTGGATTGGAAAGTACTTAGATTTTTACCTCGTAGATGTAAGAATAAGTGATAGTCATTTTGGTGCGTTGGGACGTGTATATTCACCGGTTAAGCGAGCCGCCAAGTCACCGCTTTAGCGACGTGGCAATTCACCTGTTAAGCGAGCCGCTTATTCACCGATTAAGCGACCCATACATTCACTGCATAAGCGACTCGTCTATTCACCGCTTAAGCGACTTCTCTTTTCATCGCTCAAGCGACTCGTCTATTCACCGCTCAAGCAAGTGGCGTGGCCACTGCCTAAGCGAGTGGTGTGGCCACCGCTTAAGCGAGTTGTGTGGTCACTACGTACGCACGGGTCCCGTATCTGCCTCGAAGAGTACCTTAAGTGCCACGCCGCGTCCCTTATGGGCCACGCCGAGTCCCTTAAGGCCCACGCCGCGTCCCTTAAGGCCCACGCCGCGTCCCTTATGTGCCACGCCGAGTCCCTTATGTGCCACGCCGAGTCCCTTATGTGCCACGCATCACATTGTTTGGGCGCTCTATGAAGATATTGATATCATTTATCCATCGAGCTATTCATCTTCAACGTACACATTCAGTCATCATCTTTTCGTACTTTAACCAAATCTCATCATGACAGTTCTCCGTTTATTCCTGACCGTCACGCCAATGAGCGTCGCACTCCGCTTACAGCGCACACCAGATCCTACAGAAGCGCAAATCGAAACAAGCTTGAACAGCTTATTAGAGTCGATCCTTACAGTCTACGACCGAACCGTTCTGGGAAAAGTAATACGTGGAGCTACAGCGAGTGCTGGAGTTGGAGCAGCAAATGTGATGATTGCGGAGTTCCTCAAGAACCCTGGACCTTGTGCGGCGCGCGATATGGAAATGAAGCCATTACCAGGCTTCGCGCACCTGATGCTGGCACTTGGGGTTTGTCTGCTGTTGGCGGCCTTTGCGTTGCTGGTTTTTATTATGGTGTATTATGGGAATGATCATCAGATGAAGCTGTGTAAGTGCTGTAAGGTAGTATTTGTTCTGATTGCAACATATTATACTGAAGTTTTTTTTCGTGCACTAGTAGAGAAGGAACGAGTACAGTTTATAATCGAATCAATTACAATCTCAATCAGTTCAAAAACACGTTCTAAGCAGCGTTGCTTCCGACACTGCCAAGGCAAGTATCATCCTCGGAGAAGCTTGATCCCGCCATCGAATTTGGAAGACCGGATGCAAGTCGCCCGAACGCGTTCATCCATGATGCATGTGCGCACCTTAAGGGATCGTGTTGGCTAGCTTTTTTGGTTATGAATACATCACTTCTGATGGTAGTCTTCATCTGCTTCTATTTTTCTAAAGGAGTCTTCATACTTTCGTAACTAAGTACTTCAGACATAAGAGTAGTTCGTTATTAGAGACATGCCTTCCTCTAATCAAAAGCAGACGCTCCATCGATGGAAAAAGTGTTTCAGTCGAAGTGGAAAGTGTCGTTGACGGTGGGAGTTCTTATGATGATCAGGATATGAAGTTTGTTCACCTTAATTGTACAACTACAACATAGATAGTACTTTTTTATAAGTCGAAGTGTAGCTGCGACGGAACACCGGTGCTGTCTGGTATGGAGATATGTTCTACGACATGATGAACAAGAAATGACTAATCTTCATCCTCTCCACCACCCAAGGCTCTAATCCTTCTCCACCACCTCCTGCGTCGAGCTACGGAGGCAAACGAGTGTCGATAAGCTCGGAAGCGATGAAGATTTTGACAGGGAGCGACTCTCCTTAGCAGAATGTCCCGAGATACCGGCTGCTGTCTCTCATGGTATCGGGTGCCTCGTTTTTGCCTGTTTTGCTTGTTTTCTGGCGTCGAACACGTTGGTAGGTGTGGATATGAACTTGGCGCTATCGTCTTCTTCGACTGGCGGATTAGCCCTTTCAGAGACAACTACAGCAACAGGTCGTGTAGAAGTCCCAGCTATCTTCTCCTTCACTCTGGGGAACTCTGTATCCGATATGTGGAACGCAAAATGCTACGCTTTTGCGGTTGCGATCCTGCTCTTTAGTGGTGTTTGGCCGTACTTGAAACTGTTTGTAGTATTGATTTCTTGGTACAAGCGCCCGTTGCCGCCGTTGCCGAGAGGTATGGGAAAAGGGTCTGAGCTTGAGGTAGGCATTCTTGTAGTGTGGACACAAGAGTATCTTCGTGCTGTGGAAGCACGGTATTCTCGTGCTAGGAGCTAACTTGTTCTAATTGCTCTACTTGCTGAGTGTTGTCGTTTCTAATACCCGGGTCATCTCGTGGCTGCGCTTCACAACGGTCCGCCGAGAGCGGATGTTGGAATTTCTGGATGCTAGTGGGAAATTGGGATTGGTCGACTCGTTCGTCTTGGTAGTGTTTGCAGCGTCCTTTCGCTTCGTCTGGCGCGTGGATGCCACCGAGATGGGAATCCAGATCAAATACGGGGTATTTCATACGTTTGTGGTGGTTTCTATTTTGTGTTTTCATAACCTATTCATTTTTTGAAGAAAACAATTCGGTTTAATTAATCTGCCGGAGACGTTACTCACGTCGTTAAGCAGTCGGTCTCAAGTAGCTGCCGTGTCTCTACTCGGGTCACAACGGAACCAGGCAGCTGTTACAGTTGCTACGTGGTTCGAATGTAGTGTGGTTGGAATCTTCTAAACCCCTGGAGTGGGTACATTCATTCATTCATAACCTATTCATTTTTTTGAAGTACTATTCATGTCCTAGAAAAAGCTGATGTGAAGTTAGTACTAAATGGGACAAAAAAATGATGATGAAAGCTGATCATGTGAACCACCATTGTCAATTTTGACGACGTAGCTCTTCAACCTGCCGTGTGTCCCCTGAACAAAAACCAACATCATTTCCAGCTTTCCTTCTTCGTCTTCGTGTTTGCGACGATAGTGAGCCTCATACTGGGTCACGTGGTTCTCTTCGTGCATCGGCACGTGTTGAGTCAGCACATTCGAAAGGGAGGCCTTGGGCGAGCGCCACTTCGAAGACTAGTGCGGGCTTCGGAAATGAAGGATAGGTCTATCTTATGACAATGACAGCTAGACCAAACTTAAATAAGTTGGTAAAAATTTTCGGACTTGTAATTCTAGTTATTCTCATCATTGTGATTCCGCATCGTTCCGTTGTAATGTGCTGTAAAAATAGGTACCTCTATTTCTTCTACAACAGCCTACTTCTCGAGGACCCATCTTCTCATAACCTCTTTCATCTCCCGTCATCGGTTTATTCGTGTTGCTCTACGTGCAAGTGATGTGCGTGTCTTGGCCCATCGTGACCTTCGAGTTTGGCGGTGCTGCGGGAGTCATGAACGCACTAGGAAACCTGCCTAATCGTGTCACTTGCAGTCTGCGAGACCTGGTTTCGGGACTATCGGCAGCGCCAGCGAGGGTGAATTTTGATTGGAACAAACAAGTTGTTCAGGGAGAAGAGGAGATAATGGGGTCGCCGTCTTGGTTGGGAGAACGACGTTTGAGTATGAGCTCTAGATCTTCCTGGGTCGGACCGCAATCGAGCACATTCACACCCCGTTCCGAACAAACGAGTAGCTTCGCAGGGTCCTCGACTTCTCCACCTTTTCCACCTGGTGGCACCTCAGCATTGCTGATCTCGTTGATTCAAATGGCAGTCTTCCTCTTTGGCGTGTTAATACATGGAGTTTTTTTGGTTGTACTGCTCTTGCTGTGGACGAAGCCGGTGTCTGCAAGATTGCACTACTTGATTTTCGTCACTGCGCAGACGTTGCGGGCATGGGCTGCGACGGACGTGTTTGCACTGTCGGTTGTTTATGATAAAAGAAGACCCACTTTCTAGACGCGCGTCCTCGCAGTGTTGACCGTACATTGATTTCGAACACGTTGTTCTTCGGCCATTTTATCGTCGCAGGAAATGTTTCGTCTTGACGGTGATTCTGTACAATCACCTGAGACGTAATGATGATGATGAAGTAACTGCGCGTGCCAATAACGTGTCTTCCCCCCACTGCACAACCGATCTCCCCCCTCTCTTTCATATTCCCCTCGCTTCTTCGCAGTGCAGTTCTTTCGTCCAGTTTATTCTCCAGTACGGAACGTTAAGTACGCTGTGCAACGCTGTGGAGGAGAATTCTGGGGTGCCTTGTTTCACCGTCGACGCCGCAGTACATTGGCGAACGGTATTTTGGCTTATTGTTGCGGCTGTAGGGACACAAGTCGTGGCAGTGGTAATCTTCAGGGATGTGAGTCAGGTGCTCAGCGAAGAAAGGCGGACGAGCGTGCTGGAAATGTTGTGAGGAGAGGGCAATAAGAGCATTGCTGGAATCGACGTAATCATATGGCATACACAGACTCCTGCAGACTCACAGTATGACATTTACGATAGCGATATAAACAAAATCCCATATCGAAATTTAGAGCGGAAGAAAATATTTTTCGGTCAATTTCGAATACGACGTCATAGCAGCCTCTTTCCACTTACAGTATACTGTAAGCTTAGGAACCCCAGCCTCGGGTTTCACTGTGTATAAAACTTGAGATAGAGACCTCATACCGAACTAGAGTCCTAAACATACTTACATACTACACGTAGTACGGCCTTTTTATCATGTTCACACGTACTAGTTCGACCACCATCTGCGGATCACACTGGATCGCCATGTCAGCAAAACGCAGAGTTGTAATTGTCGCTCATGTGGATGAAGAAAACTGCAAATCCATGCGTTTCAGGAGTTAGTTTCGTGACTGCGCTGGGCACATACTGTGGTTTATGTATGAAGAAATTTTTGTTCACATTTTCTTCTGATCACGAAGCAGATTTTTTTTCGATTTCCGATCTTCACAAAGCAGGTGATCATGTGATGCACTCGAAAAAGCAAAGCACGCCGCTATAGTTCAGTGCCTCATTTTTATTGTAGATCATTTTCGAAGATGAAGGATGAATTTGGCTCTTCAGTAGCCACTGAAGTCTGCTGGTTTATCTAGCGGACCCACACCTAACCTAACCTAACGTCAAACGATTTGATTTGTAGCTTCATCTTCAGCTAGAAGAAGGATGTCCTCCATGCAAAGGCAATGATGAAAGCCAGTTTGTTGTCTTGCTTCAGTCGAGCGGTGAATCTGCTACGGCTGAACAGTAGGGAGCCGTCATTCTTGACGAGGCCGCGAGATCATCAAGTTGAAGAAGAACTTCCGTTTCCGTCAACAGACCTTCAACATCTACCATCTACGGGGTTGGAGCGTCATTATGGGGATTCGGGATTGGAAACAGATGAGCAAGCCAGCTGTGCTCGTGTACCCATTACCGGACGTTCACATGCAGAAGACCCGAGCGCGACGCCAGTTGACGTAGGTGGTGATGACGATGAAAGACGAACATCGGTTCATCTACCGAAATACGCATCGAAGAATGCCGAAAGAGCACAGAAAACTGAAAAAAGACTGGCATTACTAAAGCAACTCAAGAACAAACTATCTTCACGGCGAGAGTTTGAAAAATCACTTGAAGGACCAGGAGAATCAGAGAAAGCCCCGCGGAAATGTATTTCAGTACGAAGTTTTTCTGGTGCTGAACTCCTAAAGGCACAGTGTAACGATAACGGAGATGTCGACCTAGCTGACATACGAAACCGCCTACGGCGTATGTGGGCTGATGGTAGCGATGTCCAACTGATGCTCATGGGTCCTCGTTGTGCGTCTTCCTCCGAAATTTCTTCGTCTTCGTCTTCACGACCTGAACATCCACCTCCGTCTTCTCAACCACATGGAAATCCATCTCGAGAACAAGAGTTCTGGATCCAAGCAGTTCGTTTGCCAAGTCCAGCCTACCGCTTTTTCGAAACTCTGCGTGATACTGGTGATTTCGACAGCACCAAGCCGCAGGTGTGGGAGTCGCGAGTTTTGTGGGAGGCTCTAGCTGGCGTTCGGCTGTCCGAATTAGCCAAGATTGCTTCTGAAGTCTTTTCGGAGCACCAGTACAGTGTCACACTCGGGAATGTTTTCAAAGAAGATGATGATCTTCATGTTGCAGAAGAAGCCACAAGAACTGCTGGTATTGCCGGACTGGAGCAGCAGGTCGTAGAGGATGAAGAAAATAAAGTCATTGACCACGGGTCAGACACAACGGAAGATGAGGAAGAGGAAAACAAACAGATAAAGTCATTGACAACGGAAGAGGAAGAGGAGCAACAAGAACGTATTACTTGTACTAATGGGGAAGTCGTTCTTGTACGTAATGGAGAAGTCACTGTACCCAGGAATGTTACTGCAATGACAGCTGTGGAGGAGGAAGATGACATCATCAGAGGCTCTCCTATGGATCTCGCTCCCCAACGAAGAGGACGGCAAGAAGGGGTTAGAGGCGTTTTTTCACAACCACTTAGGAGGAATTCTAGACCTGCAACGGAGGAGGCATCACAGTCGAAATTTGCACCTAGGAAACGACGTTTAAGGGATCCAACGTCGAGAAGAAGTAGTACGCCTGCTGTAGTGGAGGATGTAGACCAAGAACGTCTTCAAGTCACAGTAGGTAGTACTAGTGCAACAACTGCCGCAACTGAATCTCGTACTCGGCGAGGCAGAGAAGATGCGAGCACAGTAGTTGATAATACAACCGCAGCTGTTGAACGTTATCATCAAGGCAGAGAAGAAGTGGAAGACCAAGGCCGCACTATGGTACAACCTGCGATATTCGATGCAGAAGAAGGAGACGACGATGAAATCATGGTTTCCTTGCCAGAGGGTTCCATCTGGGTGAATGACGACCTTTTTGTCGACCACCTCACACTCGGCACATCATCATCAGCAGTCTTGCGCTATCCTAAGAGACAGATCGTTGATTTTAGTGCGGAAGAAGCAAGGATTCTTGACGGCAGTCGAGATCACGTACGTGCCGCGGCGCATGATGCCACTTTAATTAACCCAGGGGACGAAGAGTTGGCGTTCTTTTTTTTGAAAAAGGGTGCAGAAGGCGAGAACCATGGTCGTGGCTCCTGTCGCAATTCGTGCCGTTCGCGGGTCCTCGTTTCATTGACTTCTACAGCTAGTGGTGAGGGTACAAGAACGAGCGAAGCAGGGCTTCCTCTTCAGCATGGACAAGACGACCACGAGTGTGATTCCTGTCTTTCTCATGGTAGGCCTCAAGACTACAGGGACGAACACGAACATATCCCAAACAGACAAAATAGGCGTTTGTTTGTGGGAAAGAACAGCGCACAAGAACATGGAATAAATCGACGCAGCTTTGGTTTACGGGTTACAATTTTTGCAACACCTAAATTGGGTATGCAAGTATTCCGAATGCGCATCCACGAAACCTTCAACCTCATCATTATGAAAGCATCGTCAAGGTTCATCTTTCCCCACCGCTGAGGTCATCTCATCTCTCTGTTTGCTTCCTCATTCGAGGCAGGAATTCATGAACCGAAAGATGAACAATCACTCTTTTGTTATAAGCTCTAATAGTGCGGATGATCATGGAGGCTATGTTAATGTGTTTGATATACCTGGATCCACGGTGATTGACATCAGACGAAAACTTCTGGGGAGGCCGATCCTGGAGGAAGCGTGATGTTCATCTCCTTTTGCTACGAAGATGGTTATCAAGGACGACCACATCATCCTTCCCAACATGGGCTCCATGGAGGACCTCCTCAACATGGGCAACATGGGCATGTTAGAGATCATCATCATGACCGACACTATCACGGTCTTCGAGACCATGTTGATAGTCAACACGAGCAAGATCACCAGCACTATGAGCAACATCATTATGGAACGAGCAGGGGTCCTAGAGGACGAGGAGAGGCCGATCCTGGAGGAAGCGTGATGTTCATCTCCTTCTAGTCTAGCCTAAGCGATTTTCTTGCGGTTCGTACCGGATAAATAGGGTCGTGATTAGGTACTAGAACTGTACTTGGGAATTCAAGGTTCTTGTACTTGGCGTGCATGTAGTCAAGGTGATATTAACGATGTTCAAAGCTAACGACTACGTATGGTTGTCACTGATGAATGGGTAGTGAAAGGACACGTGGTTGCAAAATGTGAAGCTTTTGTTTTTGCTGCCGGATGAAATGAACCTTTCACAAAGTAAACACTTGTCACACTTTTGGGAAATTAGACGCAATCATCCAATCTCGGTATTGTGTTCTATGAAAGTGTGTTCTACAAATACAAAAAATAACAGGAGAGCTTGAAAAACAACATAAGCATCAACAAGCTTGGCCCGATCAATCTCGGTATTGGTGGCGATTAAAGGATCAGACTGCGTGAATATTCATGAGAGCATATAATTGACTCAAATCTTAGGCAGATCGCCGAGTAGATTAACGTCATCATAATTGAGCCAAATAAGTATTCTGAAATCGCTCGAGTGCTGGTCGTATGTCATTATAGAGAAAGCATATTCTCTACCCACAAGTAGAGAGCTGAGAGAAACCTTAAGCCCTACGCCCAAGGAACAAGTTCAGACCAAGACCATTATGATGAAATCCCTTGTCCTACCTGTGGTCTTAGGGCTATGGGGTCCATTGTCCCTTGGTTCTCTGGCCACAAAGTTGCAGAAATTGCTGAAGAAGTCTAGTTCATTTGTGCCAGCTGCTTCGGGAGATGGTGAACAAGTTCCTCGCGAAACGGTCACTGAAGCGCACCAAGCACAACTCGCAACGCCTCTGCTCGCTCAACCAGCTGGTGGATCTGCTTATGGGGGCAGTGCACAAGCTCCACCAGGTGCTCCGTATGTTCCCTCCGTTGGCGGTAGTGCGGCTGTGCCTGCAAGTAGTGTTGGAGGTAGCGCTGCTGCACCTATGGGAGGCACTGCCGGCTCCTCGACCGATCGTGGCTTGGTCCTCCCACCGACACCAGGCAAAGGACCAAGAAAGGGCAACATTGCATATTAAGACTTCTCGCGAAAACCTCTCTCGTTCTTGGAGAACGTACACCCTGAAGCAGGCTCTGCAACGTCTGTTAGAAAGAACGTGTCTTAGAAAGTGTGTAGGAAAACACCTCTTCTTAGAAAGTGTGTAAGAGAACACCTCAGAGGCTCTGCAACGTGTGTTAGAAAGTGTAAGAGAACACCTCAGAGGCTCTTCTAGTGTGTTCGTCTTCTCTAAAAACAAGATAGAAGATTTTCGCACTTCTAAGCTCCTGTCTCAGCAGAAGATGGTGCCGCTGCTCAGATTGCTGCTGGAACCTTGGTCACTGGAGAAACGCCTAGATCCAAAACCATAGAGGAGGACTCGGACGCCGAGATGGAGGAGTATATGCGTCATTACCATAATCACCTGAATATGAAAGCTGGACGTGAGCCTGCGGCTGGGAGTTATGGAAAAATAATCTACACTACTATAATATTGTAGCATGAGTACTAGGGAGAGCATGAGTGTAAGGGTAGTTGCTGCCCTCCCTCCCGAACTCGGTACATTATAAATCACAGTATCCAGCATCCCCAAAAGAACCTCTCGCTGCCTTTTTCTCCCTTCATCTCCTCTCCGGAGCAGCTCACGCGGTCGTGACCACGTATGCAGCTGGAGATGAGTCGCCTAGGTCCGAGACAGCCGCCCTAACTGATCCTGCAGCAAATGTCCGTCGTAGGAGTCAGGATTTGTCCATGAGCATCGACCGTTTTGTCTTGGAGCAGAATACGAGAGACCAGTACGATGCAGTGTCGACGAAGTATTTGCTCATTGTTTGATGATTATCTGATTTTCTTCGTTTGAGAAGATATTGCGTCCTTTGGTCTTCCACGGTCCACCTCGTTATTCGATCACTTAATACTGTGAATACCCGTATGATCATCTTACTGAGAATAACTGTATGCCAGAGTCGTGAGTATCATAATTAAATCCTTGCCCAGAACGACTCCATCGTCCCCTCAACCAATGACAGGGAACGCGCTCGCCGTTTTGCAAGCTTCCTCCGTAACGATGTTCTGAATGGCAAAATTATTGCCACGTTGTCGACCTTGGCTTTAGGTTCGATTATGGCACATATCTTGGAACCAGAAGTGACCGATAAACCGATTACGGGTCCCTTGGTCCAACTAGGGTTTTCGATTCCCTTCTACTCGGTGCTGGCGTTGGGGGATTACTGGGTACTATCTATTTTTTCTCCTTGTACTCCTGGGATGATGCTTTATTTCATCTGAGTGATCATTTTACCATAGTACCATGTGGCTTTTGTAGATTTGCAGTTTTGTAGTTTGCCGTGGCTTAAATATCGTGGCTACTTGAAGACACCCCACCACGACCCAAACCCTTACAGAACACGAAAGCCGATCCGAAGTTGCAAATCGTCAGGAAGAAGTACGCAGAGCTCGAAGGCAAGGTCCAGGATTTGAAGGTAGTGCGGAATAACCTACGCCGTTGGAGGAACGATGTTGAATGGATCGCACGTGGGGAAAAATTGGGTCTCTTTGACGACGGAAGCAATGAATTGTCGGTATTGAAGATTTTTTCTAGGCTGATGATGATGATGATATACCCAGTAAACTTCGTGTCTACGGGTGTGAGAAGATACTTATAAGTAGAAGATACTGTCGTGTGCCTTTGTAGTGTGTGTTGAGTACAACTGCAACTATTTGCAGTGGTAAAAAAGGGACTATGGAAACAGAGATTGGCTCATGTCACCGTGACTAGGTTAGAAAGAAGCGGCACCTATGGCAGTGGCACAACTACTGCTAAGATCAATTGCAACTGCTTCTGACTCAGGTCCAGCACCTAGATCAATTGCAACTGCTTCTGACTCAGGTCCAGCACCTGGTCAACCTCAACAGCAGTAGGGATTCGCTTCCGAATTTGAACATTATTCAGCCAGCGAAGCGCGCTCTTAGCAACATTGTCGCTGGAAAAGGTATAAAGGGCGAGATCCAGCCACATCCGACTTTTATGAGACGATTGAGGCTAAGTAGATGAAGTAATGGTCGCATTGAGAAGTAGGGAGAGGATAATGTCATGTCTAGTAGAGGACTAACGAAATGTACTTATTCATCCTCAAGAGACTTGGTGTCTGATAAATCCTCTCCATTGCCATTCATCCCTGGAGCTTGCCCTTCCCCTCTCCTATGCTCTAACTTTCCCTTCCCCTCTTCGATGGGCGCACATCCGATGGAACAGCTTTCGAGTGCGGTGCATCCTGGGCCTGCCACCGGTGCCTTAGACCCAGTAAGGAAGTACTGGTTCACGCACATGACGGAGGACAAGAAGAACGAATGGCGGATCAAACTTCAGGGCTATGCAAAGCGAGTCAACAATGCTCTGGCTTTCGAAAACAGGATCACGCAGGAGGTACTTCTTCCTTTGAGGTGATGTGAACGGGAAGATAATGCAAGAAGTATTATTTTTAGACGTGGCTTGTTTTGCTCTTGATGAGGACATACATATTTTTTGTTCTAGTTTCTTGTTTTTGATGCGAAAAACAGGAGGTCTTATACGACGAATGGATTTGTTGTTGATGATAGGACAACTTTTTTTGTGACTTGCGGGATTATGATTAAAGGAAATGGTTGGTGAGAGAGAGATGATAGCATTATCACGGTAGTGTTGATTACTTATAACAATTCAGAGCGGAAAGCCTCGAGGAAAGAGAGCACTAATGTCTTGGTACTCTGGCAGCGCAATCCCATAATAAGTCATGATTTCGATTTCGTCGAATGCCAGCTCTTAAAAATCTTGGCAACCATAACGAGAGCCAAACCACATCACGCTACCCGCATATCCTCCACACAATACAGATCGAAGAAGAATTCTACCTACAGCTGGCCCTTATCGACGAGATGCGAGCACGCGCAGTTGGAGAGTACCTGGCCCGCTGCGAGGAGGAGCAAGAACAAGATTCTGATTCTGATTCTGAAGTTGAGGCTGAGGATGCAGAATCCCAACAGGCCCGGGAGGTGATTGAGAAGCTCACACCTGCCCAGGAGGATGAGCTGAGTGACCTGATTGCGGGATGCTCGGCGAAGACCAAACTGTTATGAGGGATTACGCAGTTGTGCTTCAGGAACATGAAATTCTCGGTATAATTTATCAAGCTCTACTATCCCTAGTCCATCAAGTTACGGGGGTGTAGTAGTTTTTTTTTGTCTTGATATATAAGCTCTAAAACTTAATTGCCTCCGACGCAACTGGCGAAAATTCTGGGCTTGTGGTACTGCACCGGCGAAAGCGGCAGACGGGGAGCACACTTTCCAGACGTTGCAGCAAGATTTTATGGGTGGTGATGGCTATTGACGTCATATTTAGATCGTATAGAACGTTGTTCACATGACTCACATGTAGAACGTGACGTCAAAATTGTGAATACGTTGTCCTGGTTTCTAAACTGTATCAGAGACTGTCCTTGCCTACAACGCATTAAAGTGTGCCTGTCCTCTCCCTCTTCCTTGCACCCGAACCCAACAACAAAGTAGTATACCCACTTTCATATTCCTGTACCCGATCACTGATGAGTTCCATGATGCAGTTGCTGACGCCACCGTGACTGGCCGCGTCGGCTACAAGACTGACAATGGCCAGCGACTCCTGTGGGCAGGTAAGAAGTCGGCGCTGACGATGCTGTCGAAGGTCAGAGCCAAGGAGACGATCGCCAATATCCAATTGATTTTGGATGCAATGGATCACACAGCCTAGGTTGGAGTTTGTTGAGGTGCATGGAGATGTTTGGGACTGCGGGGAAGGGGAGTAGAAATTTCAGTTAGTTAGAGAGAATAGGCGAGATGGGATGTTGAAGATTTTTTTGGTATAAAGTTCTTCCTCGACCGTACATGGCTTTTTTTATGAACCAGTATGGGGTTTAGATTTCTTTCAGTACTCTTATAGCATGCAAAAATTTAGTACACTCGTTGATGCTATGCGTTCAACGATGTTCTGCTCATGTACCAAGTTGATTGTGGGGTCGTTGAGGGGGTAATGGCTCCAATGGTCATGTGTATCATCTATAATACAGTTATTTTTAACAACAGCAGCATGAATAGCCACAAATAGAACGACCATATTTGATTTTGTAACAGAGAATACGATATTCGTACGTCTTAAGATGACTTTATCATTTCCGCCTGCCAAATAGGAAAGTTCAAAAAAACTTCACCAATTACTTGAAAATACAGTCACAATCCGATTTATCATGAGAATATATCCTAGTCCTGTGAAAGAACATCGAAATCTATCTAGATTTAGAAACACTCAGTCATTGTCCACACATTTAAAGACTTTGTCAATGCGTTGCGCTCTAACATACGATAATCACATACTACTCGCTCGTTGACAGTCGTCAGAGGACTACTCACGTCTGAAACTACATTGTCATACATCGCATCTGATGAAACAAGGCATACCAAGACTCTTCAGGCGAACAACCTGTCATTTGGTTGATGAGACTTTTTGAAATATCTCAGAAGTACGATATTCGTGTCGACGTGGTACTATCTCGCCTTGCCGTAGTTCGTAAGCACATGCGGATCCTTCACACTCGTTTTCTCACGCCTTCTGACGTAGTACGAACTCGCATAAAAATCGCTTACTGTGTCTCATTCGACTGAGCAGTTCGGTGGACTTAATCTTTTGAAAAAACATGCTAGTTGAAGCATTTTGATGGTGTATCCCCAATCCTCCTTACAACGTACTCTTGAAAACATTGACATTTAAAAGAAACAACCGTTGCGCCTTGTCTCTTCTTTCTCTGAGGTAGCAGGGTGTCATCGTATAGTCTAGGTGTTGGCATGCTGGCCGATGATAGATTCACTGCGTAACTGTGAACAAGATGGGCATTCTCGTTCCTCACGCTCATAGCCTACCGCATGGCTTTCATCTGCTGACGCAACAGCAGCATCACGACCATTCGAGTACTACGTTTCAGGCGACTTCCTTCCACGGCGAACCCGAAGATACCCACGTCAGGTATTTCACCTTCGGCGATGAAGCGGTCAACGCTAAATTTGGCGGACGCTATGTCCGAGTACAACAATCAAACGGACCTGGCGGTTCTGGTGGAGCACATGCACATAAATCCGACACCTTCCTGGGTCCGATGCCATATTTGATTCCCCGTGCACGTAGAACAAGTCGTGAACGAGGAGGCAACATCCCTGACATCTATATCGCTAGAGCGAAGGAATTTTTCTCGAAGAGAAATAATTCCGATTACCATTTAGCAACGTGTGCATTCGAGCGGCGTTTTCCAGATGAGGTTGAACATGATATGCCTGGAGAAGCACAGCCACCGACCTATCAGTGGCGCTGCAACGAGTACAGGGATCCTAAAGAGGTTTCCGCTGAAGCGGCGAATACCAAACAAGTAGGTGGAGCGACTACTTTACCCTGGAAGTCTACTTTCGTGGGACCGCCTTTCCGCAAAGGAATTTCGCAAAGGGAAGTGTATAGGCAGACATGGGATTCGCTGAGGAACGAAGGGAGAGGACAGGCTTCCTCTTTATCAGCAGAAGAGGGCCTTGGAGATCCTGTCATCGAGTCGTCTACTTCCAAACAACGTCCACAGTCCCTGACCGTAGAGGCTGCTACCTGCCACGAAGCAGAGAAACGAGCGGTTGTGGCTGGTTGTGGTGACCAAGAAAAATTCATCCCCGATCCGGCGCAAGAACGGCGCGTTGGTGGTAAGTCAGTGGAACAGCAGATCGCAGAGTCGGAAGCGAGAGGTGGGCCGCCACCATGTTTGAATTTGGACGCTTGCTTACGGCTCACCCTTAATATCCATCTTCCGAGGCATCCTGAAGCGGCTTTTTTCAAATTGAAAAGGGGGCCGCCGGGATGAGTCTCAAGAAGATGGACGGGGGTGAGCTCTAACTCGTCCAGTCGACAAACTGCAAGCAGCACTGGAGCAAGAAGCAATAGCGAGTGAGGGCAGATGTTTTGTGGACGTCGAACTTGGTGCAGATTCTTCAGTCGATGGAGATTCGGCAGCAAAGGCAAGTATCAACGGTGGTGCAGATTCTTCAGTTGTTGGAGATTCGGCAGCAAAGGCAAGTATCAACGGTGGTGCAGATTCTTCAGTTGGTGGAGATTCGGCAGCAAAGGCAAGTATCAACGGAACAACATTGGACATCGATTTTGGACCTCAGTTGCATTCTGGGTTCAGGGACCCAAACTACGATTCCGTAGTACGCGAACCCTGGGAAAGCGAAAATCTTGTCCTCAGCACAGCAACCGCAGGAGGAACCACTTCAGCAGCAGACAAGCAACGCCATTTTCTTATCACTCTAGGACATGCGCCAAGGATGATGAAAAACTCCCAATGGCTTCAGGATTTCCTACGCGGCGTTGGGCATGGAACTAAGCCGGCAGGTTCGTATGCGTGTGCACGAAATGTAGAGTATCAAGTTGACGACGGCGCTGAGTTTCTCCACCCTCTACCTCCAACACCGTTTGCAATGAAGGAAAAAGCAGTGGATCTAGTAGGAAAGGGTTCGGGAACGATGAAAACAGCAAGGTTAGTTCCAAGGACGAAAGATAATGATGGAGTGTCTGCTTTCCTTGAATTACAGCAGACAAGTCCAACACGAACTCGAATCACGACAGTACCAAGTACAAGTAGAAGACCTACTGGAAGAAGACCTACTAGAAGAAGTTCAACAACAACAACAAGTTCTTTTTACCTGGATTGTTCGCACCCTCCGCTTTCTTCGGATCAAGAATCGATCACACAGACTGAGAGCTTGGCAGAAATCCGCTCCCAACGATTGAAAAACCCTCCTAGTACTGCGGCAGCCGGCATTTTAACCCCAACCTCTCGCCAGAGTCATATGTTGTTGCCTCGTTGGCGTGTCTCTAACGATGAAAAGTTTGCCGCTGCCGGAACGGGTGGCGAGGTAGCCGATCGCGATGGGGGGATGTATGCGCTTCATAAAGGAGATTTTTGCAGGTGGTTTAAGGATGAAATGTGGCCGAGGAAAAAAGTGCTGTCCAGGTTTGTTGGTAGTGTGCGTTCGGACAGCGAAGATATGCAGAAAAAGTCTGGTGGAACTATCGAAGCCGCAGACACGATTCTAGACTCTAAAGTGTGCAAGAACGCACGTCCGGTACTGGTTTTTGATTCGTCAACGACTGGAACGTGGTGGCGATGCTGCGTGCACACTGGGTCAGATCTTATGGTGAATGAATTTGAGCTGATGAGATGTTGAAACCGAACCAAGTCTAAAGTAGCTGCGAATGTTATAGCTAATGGGCACTAAGTAAAACAACCGTCTAGTAGTTTTCACCTCTGAAATTCTAAGGCTATCTGATGCAACACTAACTAACACTAAAGTTATTTGCTCAAGAAAAGTCTTTAGGCAACATGGTGGCTTATTTTTTTATTTTGATTTTTTATTGATGATTTGAATCTATTCGGCGAGCTGCCTAAGATTTCCCAGACGAGTTTATTATCTTATTTGATTTTATTATTTGATTTTATTTGAACGCTCCTGATGAGGACTCTTCCTCCAATCCCTGCAGTAACACTCTTCTGCACGACATCGGGATGCGTAGCAGCGCAGTTGCTGAATGGGACACGCTCAGCTCACATGGGGGTGACCCAGCTCACATGGAGTGCGAGCCAGTGTCCGTTTCGGCGCCAAAACAAGTCACGGCTGACAGTGTCCTTGCAGAGAAAATAGAAGCGGGGGAGGAGGATGTGGATCCCGCGACAGCTCCTGGATCTCCTCCTGCTACTAGTGTGCCAACTAAAATTAAGGGTAGGTGGGAGTTAAAGGTGCTTTTGTTACCGTTTTAGTTAAAGGTGCTCTCTCCCTTAGGTGGGGACAGCCATAACAAGCGGAAGAACCCACAAACACCAAAAACAAAGACAAGGCAGAAGCACGTGAATCCCTTTGCAACTTGTCCCGTCATGCAGCAGGGATTTTCCGGTACTGGTGCTGGTATGACAACTTCTCTAATAAAAAACAGCATGTTCACGATGAATTGGAGTGTTTACGTAGGCGTTATCCTGCTGACGTTGGTCTCCGAGAATGCAGAAACGCACGCGACGGCGCTGAAGCGTGTAACTACTCAGACAGCATTTGTGTGCGCGCGACAAGCTTTGACTCACTGTCGAAATTAGATGCTAGGAAAGTTGTAGAGGAGGAGAAAGCGTCTGGTGCAGGCTTGGTAAGTCGTGGTGCGGCTATGGTGTCTTCGGCTGCTTCGGCAGCATCGGCTGCAGCTTCTTCCGCAGCTTCGCATATAGACGATGAGCTAAGTTCCTTACAAGGTGAAGCTGGAGAGGATGAACAGACTCCTGAGCAACGAGCGCCTGTTGAACCTGCACCGCCTGCACCAGAAGGAGCTAAGGCACAACCTCCACCCCCTATCCTAGCGCCCGAAATTAGCAGATGCGTCCATCTTGGTGCTCCTGGGGAATTGAGACCAGTAGAATCGGTTTTAGAGGCGAAAAGCAGACCTAATCGGCTGCTGGACGGTCTAAGAGCCTTATTTGGCCGTTCTACACGCGATCCGCCACCCAGACTGTGCGAGCCTGGAAGTCGCGGAAGAGAAGCTTATGACAAGGCAATGAGAGAAGAAAAACGAATGAGAAAAATAGAAGTCTTTGAAGAAGAGCATGGACCGATAAAAGGAGAGGAACCGAGTAATGACTTGACGATGCCGATTCAACCTAGTGAGACGAGATTGAATTTGTACAGAAGAATACCCTTTACACCTGAAGAGAAGCACTTTCACTATGTCGTACCACCGAACCCACATGATGTGATATTCTTGTAAAGCAAGTGGTTTTATTGTTGAACAGAAGAACTACACACAGGAAAGTTGCGACAAGGCAAGGAAATTGATACAAAACTTGATGAGGCAAGGAAACGGATACAAAACTTGTGTTCGAATGCATCCTCACGGTGTTGATGACTTGCTAGGATCCCCACTGTGCTGTACTACTAAGCTCGCCATGGTTTTTCGTTTCCTAACTATCTTTGTGCTGACCGAAACGTCATGGACAGATTTAGTGGTGTGTCTTTTCCGAGGACAGAGTTAGTGCTGGTTTGGATTGTTCCCAGCACTGTGCGTCAGTCTCTCCATCTTTGCATGTCTTTGCGAGTAGCACACGCCTCACGACACAGCGTTCTATCATGAATTCTCTGTGATTCATAAATCACATCAGAATATAGGAAAAAGCTAAGTCTCATCTTCACTTGTTTCAACACATATTATCTTACTTGAAGACGCATCTTCACTTGTTTCCACATATTGTCTTACATACTTGAGAATACAATACTTTCTTCACTTCGTAATCGTTTTTCTCTCTGGTTCTTGTCCAGCTACATCAAACGAGAAAATGGCGGCGTCTGCAGTGAAGAGGTTTGTTCCGTTGGCTGACCGTGTGCTGGTCCAAGTCTTCAAAGCGGAGGCTAAGACCGCTACCGGCATATACCTACCAGAAGCAGCAAAACAGAGCATCAATCAGGCGAAGGTATTTTCTTTTCTATCTTGCGAGCGCGACACGCGTGAGGCGGCAGGGTCGCGCGCGAACATAATAATAATAATAATAATAATAATAATAATAATAATAATAATAATAATAATAATAATAATAATAATAATAATAATAATAATAATAATAATCTGGTCTTTCTTTTTTCTAGTTAGGTCGGCTCCACCACAATTATTAAATCTGGGGTTTTTGTCTGTGATGAAGTGAGGAACTTGAACTGGGAGATTGTTTTGTGTGAACCCGCTAATGAGCAAGATGAAAGGAAAATGTTGATCTAGTAGCTACTAGTAGGACAAGATCTACTTGTACTTTTTGAGTAGCAATTGCAAGTCACATTTCTTTTCAAAATGGACCTCCTTTCTTCAGGTAATCTCTGTCGGCAAAGGCCGACTCGGAGAGGGTGACAAGTTGCTCCCCTTGTCGGTGAAAGCGGGTGACACCGTTATCATTCCGGAATATGGTGGTATGAGCATCAAATTCGATTCAGAGGACTACAAATTATTCCGTGACGACGATATCGTTGGAGTTATGGCTGAGGAAGGTGGGGCTGCGGCTTAAGACGCGGAGGAAGAGGGAAAAGCGAGGGTCTTCAACGTGGGAGCAGAAGAGGAGATTTTAGCGTTGAGCCGAAGGGCTTTCTCTACCTCCTCTTGGACCTTCTCGACCTCGATCCGTTGACGAAGACAACCTGCTGTTGAGCCGAAGCTGGCTGTGTTGTGTGTTGTATCAGTTCTTTTCATCTCAGTAGGTTCACAAACCTACAATTTTCTTTTCAATGTCAGAGTACCCCATAGTTGAATGCTCTAGATGATCAAGAAAAGTGTATCAAAAACAGGGTTCTTCTCAGGGTATCATGATGAGTAACTTTCTTGGATCAACAACATTTTCCGCAAGCAGTCGCGCACTGTTTCACCGCATGTACTGATTTTTTTCATAAGGGTTACGTCTGTACCTGATATTGGGTGACGCGAAAAAAATAGTGATGCGACCTCGCAGAATGAACCCAGGAGCGCCTGTGTGTCATCGCCAGGCGCAAAAAGACCTGTTCTACTCTTGCTACTAGCACCCGACCCATAATAAAGCACCCATGATTTTTTCTTGGCACGAAAACGTAAGGGTTTTGCATGGGAAACCGCGGTCAGATACCTTAGGATACCTGGGTGTTCTTGTTAGCTCTGAAAGGTGCACTTAGATGACACTGTGGTGCAACAAGGTTCAAAAAACTGGTTCCATGTTCGCATATCTTTCTCGAGGATTCTTTTCTGCCTTCCGTGAGTCCGAGCACGTAGATTGATTCATGGTTCCATGGATGGTGATGTGATTTAATAAAGATGATTTTGGTGTCTAAAGTTCGCCGTGTCAGACACTGTCTATAAGAGGAACGTGGATCAGAGTTTCTCTGATAGAAACCACCATTCCAATTTTCAATCATTCCAGCACAAGCTGTATGGTCTAGATAGCACATTTCTAAGAAGTACCTCTTTTGTACTTTCTACTGTAGTCACGACAGTACTACGACGTTGATAAGTAACCACGTACAGACGATTTTATTACCGAACTTCCTTACATCAATCAGTCAAGATGTTGTCCAAGTTTGCTCGTCCTTCGTCTGCTACCAACGGCCGTGCTCTACGTGCCTTCGGTACTGCCAAGGATATCAAGCATGGTATCTCTGCCCGCTCTGCAATGCTCGAAGGGTGGGAAGCATTGGCTGATGCGGTAGCCGCCACTTTGGGTCCAAAGGGAAGAAACGTTGTGATCGAACAGAGCTTTGGTCCGCCGAAAGTGACGAAGGATGGGGTACAGTGCTTTTTATGTCTTGCTAGATTTACGTCTTTCTCTTTCAGTACAGTGATTTTTATGTCTTGGTAGATTCTGAACCTTTTTTGAAAGTACTTCTTGCAACTCTATACGATAGTCAGGTAACTGTCGCGAAAGCTATCGAATTGTCGGACAAGCTGAAGAATGCGGGAGTAAATTATGACATACTAGTAGTTCGTGAAAATCAGGTGAAGTTGGTTCGTGAAAATCAGCTGAAGTTGGTTCGTGAAGATCAGGTAGACGTTGGTTGATCCTAGGGGTTCATGAAAAACAGGTAGACCTACTTGTAGTTCGTGAAAAGCAGGTGAAGGTGAAGAGTAGACGTTGGTTGATCCTACTTGGTTGTACCGGCAATCAATTCGACATGGACCCGCGTTTCACTCCATGCACTTTTCTGCATCAGCACCAAGCTTCTTCCTTCTCTCTAATCCTCACTCGCGAAAGAAGTCGCCTCGAAAACGAATGACATGGCGGGAGACGGCACCACAACGGCCACAGTCTTAGGTCGAGCCATTTTCAAGGAAGGATGCAAGGCAGTCGCAGCAGGGATGAATCCGATGGACCTTAAGAGGGGCATCGATATGGCCGTAAAACACGTCCTAGAGGAGCTCGCAGCGATGTCAAAACCAATCGATGGAGCGGAAGAAATACGGCAGGTACTGCAGAATGACTAAATGTATGCTTTGTGAAGTATTTTTGTCTTCGTAGGCACGCGAATAGGGAAGACGTTTTCATCATACTCGGTCTTGTCCTAGGAAGTGCTTCCTACATGAAACCAATTACAGGTCTCTCCTTGTGTTCTCAAACGCTGCCAACATCCTTCCTTCTCCTACTTTTAATGCTGCATATTAGGTTGCCACCATCGCGTCCAACAGTGACAAGGAGATTGGTGATATGATCGCGAGGGCCTTCGCAAAAGTAGGAAAGGACGGCACAATTACTGTGAAGGAAGGGAAGACCTTAAAGCACGAATTAGAAGTGGTGGACGGCTGCAAATTTGACCGCGGTTACATCTCTCCTTACTTTATCACGAATGCCAAGACCCAAAAAGTGGAGATGGAGGAACCACTGGTTTTGGTCTACGAGAAAAAAATTTCGAACATCCAGAACTTGTTGCCGATTTTGGAGAAGGTAATTTTGAATGGCAAGGAAGTTGCATGAGAATTAGTATGATACAAAGGGGCATATGGCGGACACTTAAATAATTATTTTAGCAAATAATTATTTTTCCAAATCTTCACTTTTACCACTAGATTCCGCAAAAGTGGAAAAATAACTAGATGCTAAAATAATTATTTAACTCCGCCATAGGGCATGGAGATACAAAAGTGTCTGAAGATATCTGAACGACAATCTCCACTCAGAACCTTCCATTTTTTTATATGAGAAAACCTTCCGCCCATCCAACTGAGCCCTATGATACTCACAGGTCGTCCAGAGTCGCAAGCCTCTAGTCATCATCGCTGAGGACGTCGATGGCGAAGCTTTGTCCACGTTAGTGTTGAACAAATTGCGAGGTTCCTTCAACGTATGCTGTGTAAAGGCGCCAGGATTCGGAGATAACAGAAAAGCCCAACTCCAAGACCTAGCGATCTTGACGGGTGCCAGGCTCATCTCCGAGGATGCGGGAGAGAAACTTGAGGATATTACCTTGGAGCACCTAGGAACATGCAAGTCAGTGGCCATCACAAAAGATGATACCACGATTTTGGATGGTACTAGTTTCAGTTTCGTTCAGAAGTACTTAATTTGAAAGGTGGTACTCGTAACAATGTCCTCGTGCTAGTACTGGTTATTCGGCGCATCTTTAGATCACGCACAACCGGAAAACAGGTAAAGTCACGAAGAACGAATTAGAGCAGCGTTGCGAACAAATTCGCGCTGCTATCGAAGAGACGAGCAGCGAATACGAAAAGGATAAGCTCAAGGAGCGATTGGCCAAGCTGACGGGTGGAGTAGTTATGGTTGAAGGGTTTTTTACTAGTCCAAATTCACTGTCTTGTTAGTGACGATCCTTTTTAAGTGTTGGAGAGATGCTTCTTTCAGGATAACTTCACCGGGTTTGCTTCTAATGTAGCGGTCATCAAGGTAGGGGGTGCCAGCGAGGTAGAGGTCGGAGAAGTCAAGGACAGACTAAACGATGCTCTGTGTGCCACGAAGTGCGCGGTCGAGGAAGGTACCTAAATTTCAAATTGACTTCAAGAGGGAGTGCTGGGTGACTGAATCGCTTTTAGCAATTTGCTAATCAATCTCCACCTCTTTCTCGTTCAACAACATCCCTATCATCATCACTATCCCTATGCGCTAGGTATCGTCCCCGGTGGTGGTGCCGCTCTCCTGTACGCTAGTCGGGGTCTCGTGAATTTGGAGAAGTCTGTGGAAAATTTTGACCAGTCTCACGGTGTTGGAATCATTCGTCGTGCGTTGCAGCAACCCTGCATGACGATCGTAAAGAACGCGGGTAAAGAGGGAGCAGTAGTAGTCGAGAAGCTGCTTGGGCAAGACGATATGAAGATGGGGTATCTTTATCTTACATTTAGTTCCACCTGATGTAAATGTATAGCATAAAGGGAAGATAGTTTGCGTGGGGTCAATCTATTTTGATACGTCCTGGCCATCACGTGGTCCTTGTACAGGACAAGAGGTGCTGCCTTCGTAGGAGATGTATAATGCTTCACCGGTCATGATCGCTATCAGAACTAATCTCTACGGGCACTACTAACAGTGTCGTCAGGGATCCAAACATACATTGCGCAATGAATGTTTTCACTTGTGGCCCCCTACGTGAAGATGCTACTCGCATGTCGAATTCCCTATGAAATTTCTTGAATTGCCCAAGTCAAAAAAACAACACTGTTAGGTACAACGCCCAGAGTGAGGAGTACGTCGATATGATGAAATCTGGTATTATTGATGCTGCCAAGGTGACCAAGACGGCACTTGTTGACGCCGCCAGTGTCGCATCGCTGCTCACAACGTCGGAAGTGATTATCACAGATTTGCCCGACAAAAAGGAGGCCGACATGGGCGGAATGGGAGGCATGGGCGGAATGGGCGGCATGGGAATGGGTATGTAAGTACCGAGTAGTTTGGGTGCTGCTCTTGTGGTGACTGGACGAAAGCAATGTGAGTGGTGCTGAAAATGAAGAGCGAATAGTGGCTTCGTTTGCCATGTCACGGACGTAAGGAGACATGTGAGACCGTCTCCGTCACACTTCGACATGCAGTTGTTTCATGGGAGTGATCTTGCGCTAGGCAAATTCTCATAATCATGTTCTTGATAACAAACTAGAATAGGATCATGTGGTCCAGGTACACATCGTCATTGACATCATTCTTAATCGATACCACGAGAATGGGTACATAAATCAATCAATCAAGCTGGAAAATTGTAGATTCTCCATAGCACTGACTCGTCAATCACAGAACACTCTAAAAAAACGTCACCCAGAACTGCAGCCTGTCTGAAAATTTAAAATACGCGCTATTTTGTAGGGCGGGGACTATGAGAAGGTAGCAAAGTAGTAGATAGATACGACATAAGAGAAACAGACTGTTGACTACCCAAGTCCTCTCCAATGATTACTTGTAGCTGTGATTGATACTCCTTCTCGGAAAATGTAAATGATTACTTTTTCAAAAAGTAACCTAATCCATTGGATTCAAAAACGCAAATGTATACGGGTGTGTAAAAAAAGCATGTTACTCCGTTTTGACAGGTCGATGACGCGCATAGACTATTCATCACTGTCTAAATAATTTTCCAGTACTTGATAGAAACCTTTGTTCTTCCTTTCCAGTAAATTTTCCCGAAAAACAAGATGAGACCCAGGGCATGTTCCCAGCATCCCCCTCGTACTTTCTCAAAGACTAACGCTTGACCTAGGATAGACCCTTCCCCAGCTGAACTCGCATCATGTTCAGCCAAAGACCACCCTAAGTAAACATTGGAATATCGATTTTTTGACTTATGTGATGTCATGGACGACGCAGGAAGCCGTGGTCGGAGGGCGCTACATGGAAATATAGGTTGCTTGATATCGCGAGGCTGCTTCCAGGAAGCGATCAAGCGTACTGAGAATCAGAAAACGCCTGATAATTGAGCACTAGCTACGTTTCCGTGACCAATACCTGAAGACCGAAAGGTTGGTTCTTGCGATCTGTAGCCGTATATCTGTGACAGAGGGCCTACAAATAGATTTGAAGCAGATCCTTCTGGTTTTCCTTGGCCCTCAATCCCCGACCCCGTTCACTACAACCCGCGTTTGCGAACACAGTTGTGTACTTCTAAAGGTGTATTATTTTCATCCAGGAAATTATTTTCACAGCAAACCACTGTCGAGGGGGGAGACGGTAGTTGGTCGGGAGGATCCAGTGTTGGTGGGTATCGAGCGGTGTCACGTGCGCGTCTGCATGGAGGACGCAAGAATGTTCAGACTGTAGTAAGAAGGTGTAGCGCAATAGTTTGCGCATTTGTCCCGTCAAACCCAATACCACACTATTCGTAGATGGAAAGTTCAGTCTCTTTACATCCAGGAAATTATTTTCACAGCAAACCACTGCTTGTATTTGAAGAAGCTATTCGACCTGCTCCTTCTACCACTGACTACCACTGATTGACTTTTCGTCCCTCCATCAAATAAAATTCAAAATGGGCAATTGTAATGGTTGCTTTGCTGGGATTATTGGGACCTCGGAAGCCGCAAAAACCGATAAGCCCTCCGACTTAATGGATTGCAAAGCATTAGCCAACGCATGTCAAAAGGGGGACGTGAAGGAGGTTAGTCGGCTGTTGCTAAAATTAAGGCTTACAACAGTGATAAGAGAAAGCTGTTTTTATTTCTCTTCTTCTCTCGGAAGAGAGACAGGCGAACGGCCTCCTTTCTTTCTGAGAAAGAAGAGCGCCTTTCTTTCTGAGAAAGAAGCCAGCCTGCTCACAGAAAGAGAGCAACAAGACGAGACATCAACTGACAGCAACCAATATTAAGATTTTTCCATCTGCTCTAACACTCGCAGATCCATGTTGGGCCGACGAGAGTTTTTTCAACTATACGCCTCTTCATAGGGCAGCAGGACAAGGACATACTGAGGTCGTTCGACTTCTGCTCGCAGATGAGCGAGTAAATGGTGGGAACGTCGTTAAGAGATGTGTTTTTCTGCACCACTTGGTTTGGGAGTGGACGATTGACTAGAAGTAATCTACTGATTGTTCGAAAAACTGAAATAAGCGAGTGACTACTGAAAATAAGCGAGATGTTCACTGAACGAGGAAGAGTAGCGCTGTCAAAGCTACCTTCCTTCTTTCGGTAACGCGGTTATTTCAGTAGGAGTATGTTGAACTCTCTCAACGTTTTCTAAGCTCTACATGCGAAGTACATCGGATGAGACGCCGCTTATCATGGCAGCCAGGGGTCGGAGGGCTGAAATTTGCCAAATGCTTCTCGAAATGGGCGCGGATCCAGAAGCGAAAACGAATTATAATTATGAACATGTCTTTTTTCTAGTTAGGTGTAGGTCTGCTCCACCCATGTGAACATGTTGAGAGAAACAAAGCGAAACATTCCTCTCCGTAGAAGCTCCTTAGGAGGCAAAGTAAGGACTTAGATTTTTCATGATAGAAGATTTTCCACCGCTGTGTAGCTGTTCTGAGTTCTAGGCTCCGTTTGTTTTCTATCCGTTGTAAAAAGGATATCACTTCCTTTGGTCTGCCTCGGTCTAGCTCATATTAGACCACCACCACTAGACGCTTTCATTATGCGGGCAACTTGGCTCGTTCAGCGCGCAGCTATCTCGTCGAAGCCGGTTATGGAGCGTTGCTCTGACGCAAAAGATTTTACTACTTTTTATAAGTAGAACAGGTAGAAGAAGCTTCTTTCACTGGAATGATGGTTCCCACACGTTGGAAGATGTGTGTATCCATACGTATACGGAGAACAGAAGAAATAGATTCGTACTGTGGTAGAAGGCCAATAAAATGAGATCTCTAGTTTTTTCCATATGAGATATATCGGCCCTTAGATAAGAGAGCGTGCCGGCGTTACTCATGCCATAGCGCTATCGGTTCTCTGCCGCGTCTCTACTCGGGTCGCAACGGAATCAGGCCGCGACAGTTGTCACGTGATTCGCAAATGAATGAATGAACGAGAGTTGTCAAAAACTACATCTGTGGCATGCATGTTGCTACAAGTGTGAATGTGTGTTCGACGAAAGCCTGAGAATGACGAGTGATGAAGTATACGGTTCTTCCGTTACTACACGAGACAGGCCAACACTACTCTTCACCTCTGTATCGATACAACACAAAGGTCGAAACTCTACTATGTATCTGTATAGGCTTTCGCCCGCCTTGTATCGTCCGCCTTTTGGTTCGCACACAGGTCCACACTCGTCTCGAGACCTTTTTTGTCGGTGCTAAGTGTAGTACTGCCATAGATTCTCGGTATGTGCTGCGGCCTAATCGGTTGTCCCGATCCTATGTCGAACGCCAACCTCTGAAAACTGACCGCCTCCTTTCACCTCCATTTCTATTCCCGATGAAAAATTACTTTCTATCCCCAGGCAAGCATATTACTTTACATGATGATATCTCCCTGATCTTCTTCATGGTCTTAACTGCAGAAATCCAGTAACTTCAATTGTCATTGACTCTTTCACATGATTATTGTGTCTCCACGGATGCGATCTATCCATTTCATTTGTTTCCATCTAACTCATCTTAGGACTCAAGAATTTTGGAAGAAATTGGGAAAGATCCTGGATTTACCTCCTCTCCTTTTCTAAGGGTACTTAGAAGAACAACTTCTCCCTGAGAGACAACTTCTGTTACAACTTCAGAGGCTTCTCCTACAAGATGAAGGTTGGACCTCTGCTTTTTTTAAGCACCGCGGGTGAGGTCTGTGGCCTGTCGCCCTTCCTGCCCAAAGCTTCGCAGCAGGAGGCACGCAAGAAGCAAGGCGTTGTTGCGGTGGAAGTGGAAAATTTATGCTGGAAAAAAATCTTCATTATCATTCCCAAGTTACTTAGACTTAGTCATAAAAGACACAGAAGTAGAAGTTTGTCTTTTCATCTATTCTCTCTTGTTTCAATTCCTATGGATGATGTTTCTGGATTCAGCTTCCAATTGTTCTCTTTGTAGGTTTTTCGTTTTCAATTGTTCTCTTTGTAGAAGGATCATGATCATCAAGATACTTATAGAGGAAGTACTCCTACCTTCTTCCTTTCATACAACGGCGGTGACCTGCAACAGCGTGGAACTGCCGAAGACGAGCAGATTGAACTGCCTGCAAACGCGGAACTGACCGAACAAAAACAGGGTATATTATTAGAGTCTAATAAAGATCTATTATCTAAGATTAAAATGATCTATTATCCAAGGGTATATTAGAGTCTAATAAAGATCTATTATCTATAAGATTCTCGAATTCTAGACTGCGGATAAGTAGATAGTACTGACAATGAATCGACAGGTGCTGGGTACAACGTTGCTGGCAATGCCGAAAGCATCCAATCCAGCGCTACTTTTCTTTATGGCTATTCTCTGTTTTGAGGTACTTCGCGACTGATCAGGGAGAAAGAGACCACCATGACCATGAGTTAAAGACCACCATGACCATGAGTTAAAGTGTGGCCACAAGTTGATCGTTTTTGTTCTCAATACTATCACCTCTCTCTCTCTCTCTCTCTCTCTAATGTGAGGATCTCCACCACCGTCCGGCGAGCAAGGACCAGTTAAGGCTAAACAGCGTCTTCGGCTCTTGTGAAGGAAGCTCTCATTATCGGAATTATCTGCTCTTGTCAAGGAATAGGAAGATGCGGGCTTCCTTCCTTTTTTTCTTGTCAATCGGGCTTTCCTTTCAAACTTTTGCTCCACTTATACTTACTAGTTTGATAGTATTATGTTTCTGGTCTTCGAGCCTACTTCTTGATAGTATTTTTATGTTTCTCTTCTCTCTCCTACAATCATGGCACAGCGCTCTGGTTCTTTTCTCACTTTACATCTCCCTTGTACCCCTCGAATGGGTTTATTCCTACTACTACTACTACTACTACTACTACTACTACTACTACTACTACTACTACTACTACTACTACTACTACTACTACTACTACTACTACTACTACTAC